CAATTCTCTGCGCTCGAAATTTGGCAGAAAGTTGCGGAGAGTGGGTTGAAAAAAATTGAGAGAAAGATTAAAAGATTGAAAATCGAATCCTCTTCTATAAACTGCAACGAATTACAAATTAACTCAATTTGCAATTTTCAAGCTCAATTCCAATTGTTTGCGCTCGAAATTTGGCAGAAAGTTGCGGGTTGAAAAAAATTGAGAACTGAATCTTCTTCGATAAATTGCAACAAATTACAAATTAACTCAATTTTCAATGGGACGTTTCAAGTCTCTGTGCTCGAAATTTGGCACAAGGTCTGCAAACTGAGTAACAGTTAACAAAATTAATCGAAAGAGAAGAATCCATCTCTGTCTTAGATCAGAGATCTAGACAAGAGTGAACCTTCTTCGATAAATGAAATAACACTCTCATTATTTGCATTTCAATGAGACATTCCTAATAACAGTCTCTGCGTGCTTGAAATTTAGGGCAACGTTGTAGAGTGGATCGTCTGCCAGCAGCAGCAATATTAGTTAACGAATTAATTGAAAGGTATCGGCGTGGCAATTGTACGGAAATAAGGACTCCTCTCCTCTGTTGGCGTTCTGCGGTGCTGACTGCTCGGAATTCTATGCCCCGCGCGGCAGAATTCTGCGGTCGCTGGTGCAACGAGACACGTTGTACGTTATTAATACGAATAAGGAGAGACCATGAATTTCAATCGCGAAGAATCTTAAGCCTCTGAGGCGTGTGAAAACACACAGGGACAAAATACCTGACTTTCTTTTGTGTCATTTCGTAGAGACTTCGATAATGTACAGCGAAGAGCAAGACTATCATATTGCATAAATGACAATGAGAAATGAGTTATAACAGTGATTCGGCGTTTGAAATGGAAAATAAAATTGTACAAGCTTTCTCGAGAATTTTTCACTCCGAGATAATCAGAACTCTGTATTTCCTTTTATTCGAAAGCCCAACATTCGGTATTTTGAAACTTTCATTCAAGTTCGACACGGAGAATACGAAATTTCTAATAATAGAAAGAAAAAAGAAAATGGAGGATGGAGATATTCATTTATCTATACATTCGCTTTCTTTCTGGTTCAGGTTAGGTTTAGATTAGATTTAGATTAGGTTTTGACCAAATTTCTAATAATAAAAAGAAAAGAGAAAACGGAGGATAGATATGTTCATTTATCTATACTTTCTTTCTGATTTAGGTTAGGTTTAGATTAGATTTAGGTTAGGTTTTGACCAAATTTCTAATAATAATAAAAAAAAAAGAAGAAAACGGAGGATATTCATTTATCTATACACTCGCTTTCTTTCTGATTTAGGTTAGGTTTCAATTAGATTCACGTTAGGTTTTGACCAAATTTCTAGTAATAAAAGAAAAGAAAGAAAACGGAGGATAGAGATATTCATTTATCTATACACTCGCTTTCTTTCTGATTTAGGTTAGCTTTAGATTAGATTTAGGTTAGGTTTTGACCAAATTTCTAATAATAATAATAAAAAAAAGAAAACGGAGAATAGAGATATTCATTTATCTATACAATCGCTTTCTTTCTGATTTAGGTTAGGTTTCAATTAGATTCAGGTTAGGTTTTGACCAAATTTCTAATAATAAAAAAAAAAGAAAAAGACGGAGGATAAAGATATTCATTTATCTATACATTCGCTTTTCTTCTGATTTAGGTCAGGTTTAAATTAGATTTAGGTTAGGTTTTGACCAAATTTCTAATAATAATAAAAAAAAAAAAAAGAAAACGGAGGATAGAGATATTCACTTATCTATACATTCGCTTTTTTTCTGATTTAGGTTAGGTTTAGATTAGATTCAGGTTAGGTTTTGACCAAATTTCTAAAAATAAAAAAAAAAAAGAAGAAAACGGAGGATAGAGATATTCATTTATCTATGCATTCGCTTTCTTTCTGGTTTAGGTCAGGTTAGGTTAGGTTAAATTAGATTTTGGTTGGGTTCTGACCGAAGTATCATATCGGCGAACGTTGATTGAACGTTACACGTACTTTGCTGATGCATTTTTTAACTCCGAGTCGTGCATGTTAAACTTTCGTGTCTGAACGAATAACGAGCTTCTCCACTGAAGCGCGTGACTTCGCTCGTCTTGGAGCAAATTCAAAAGCGCCGGGACACGGTATCTCTTTTCCCGCGGAAATTTAATTATCCTGAAACTCTCTGCGAAGTAATAAACTCAATACTCCCTCGCGAATTTGATCCAACTATCGGGATATTTTATCCTGTCGATCGGGAAAACGTCGAAGATACAAAATTAATTTCGAGTATACTTTCATATTAATGTTTATAATTGCCATAGTGACATTTGGCATTTATTTTTCTCGCAGTGTTCAAATCGAAAGGAAACTCACCACAGCGTTCTCCTCGTTGTAATGAAGATATTTTGCCCACTCTGGCCGAAACCGTCGAGATACAAGCCAGTCGCGTTATCGTGCACCAGTCCGAGGCATCGATTGGCCCATCTCTGCGCCGATTTGGCCAAACCTGGATGCCACTTCTGCAACAACATAATTTGACGTATAATTTTTCGCTCATTCTTGGCCGTCTGTTAAATCTCTGTGATTGACGTTTGAAAGTTTTACGAATTATTACTTCGAGATCATTGTCACTGGATCTCTAAGTAGTACTTTAAATAATTTTTTTAATTGTTAAAATTGGTTAAAAAAAAAAATCGAGGACAATATAAGCAATAATAAATTAAAAATAAATTTAAATTTCTTTCGACCTCGTTAGGCTTCACTTGTAGGAGAAATAATAGTTAATTGTCTTGTTTATTCAAATTGCTGAAGAAAATTAAGGGTTAATTATAGTGTTAATAATAATTAGGTCTCTTTCAATTACGTGGGAATCTCGTAGATCTCACTTGGAAAAAGTAATTTTTCTCATTTATTCAAATTTCTAGGGAAAAGTTAAGAATCAAGCATCGCGAAAAAAGAATTATTTCAAATAGTATTTTAAATTATTAAAAATTTAGATAAATATATCATATAATAAAATTTAATTATTTAGATAAATATATCATATAATAAAATTTAATTATTTAGATAAATATATCATATAATAAAATTTAATTATTTAGATAAATATATCATGTAATAAAATTTAAATATTTTTTATTTAGAAAAAAAGGAATTATTTCAAATTGTATTTTGAATTATTGAAAAGAATAAAATGATATTTAAAAAAAATAAAATAAAATCCAAGACCGTCGTGTAAAAGATTTCAATTTCTTTCGTATACTATAAACCTCCTGAAGGAACAATGATTTTAAATAATTTTCTTATTCAAACTGTTAAAAAAAAAAGAAATCGCTCCTAATTCATTCAACAACAAATTGCCACGACCTGAGAAGTATCTAAAATTTCTTTCAATCTCGTGCGATTTTACAATGATAAAGAAGATCATGCAATGTAAAAAAAAAAAATAGATTCGACGATAATTCGTAAAAATAATTTCAAAAAAGGAGATGTTGAAACGGATATGAATCGTAGCCGAAGAAGATCTCTTCAATTATTAAAATTGTTTTTACGTTTACTGGGAAATTCCTTTGAAAAAATGAAAAGAAGAAAAATCGTTAGCGATACGTTCGATCTGTAAACCAACCCCCGTAAGTGCATCACTGTTCACATCCACTTGGCGATAGAATCTCTACGAGAAATTTATCGAGCAGTCTCTCTCGCTCTTCCCGTCGGTTGGCTTCATGAAACGAAAGCGACTGTAACCAAGTGGCACTTGGTTTATTCCAAGTCCACTCGTTAATTTTCTGCCCGGTATCGTTTTAACGCGAGAACGATCCGAGAGTTGCCTCATAAAAATTTATAACTCTCGCCACGACCGTGCGCCGATACTCGCGTCCAGCCATCGCGAATCGGCGCATCGCCAGTGTTGAACTTAACTCTCTTATCGGTGAATGACTCGTGAATTTTATTATTATTATTATTATTATTATTCTTTTTTATTTATTTGTTTTTACAATCGCATTGAATCGTTAGCAGTTCCATCGATTTACAGAGTAACAAGACGTACCCGAGTAAAGATGGACCTTTAGGTTAAGTCTCAGATTAGATTAGGTTAGGTGTTATAATTGAGATTTTAGTAGTATCAGAAAGATATTTATCTTCCTTTTCGAATTTTACCACTTTTAATGAAAGTTTCACTGAGAAATTTACTTTTTGGACGAACAATTTATTTAGAAGTGTATCAAAAAGTATCTATAATTAATGGAAATCTCAGTAGTATGAAAGATATTTATCCTTTTCTCGAATTTTATCATTTTTTGACTGTCGTTGAAAAATTTGCTTCTCGGGCGAATAATTTTAGAAAGATAATTTAGAAAAATTTCTAAAATAATTTAGAAAAAATTTATTAAAAAGCGTCCACGGTTAATTGAAATTTTAATAGTACGAAAAAAATGTTTATTTTTTTCTCGAATTTTGCCATTTTTTGACTGTCGTTGAAAAATTTGCTTCTCGGGCGAATAATTTATTTAGAAGAAGATTTATTAATTACAACATTTATTTATTACAACAACATTTATTTGTATTAAAAAATATCCACAGTTAATTGAAATTTTAATTGCACGAAAAAAGACATTTATTTTTTTTTTCGTATTTCACTGTTTCTACTGTCGCTGAGAAATTTGCTTTACATACAAATATTATAATTTATTTATTTAAAAGAAGTGTATTAAAAAATATCCACAGTTAATTGAAATTTTAATTGCACGAAAAAGACATTTATTTTTTTTGCTGAGAAATTTGCTTTCCATACAAATAATTTATTTAGAACAAGTGTATCAAAAAAAAATTAACAGTTTAATTGAAATTTTAATTGTACGAAAAAGACATTTATTTTTTTCGAATTTCATTGTTTCTACCGTCGCTGAGAAATTTGCTCTTCATAAAAATAATTTATTTAGAAGAAGTGTGCCGTTAATTAAAATCTTGTAGTGAAAGATATTTATTTGTTTCTCTCACTGTCTCTGAAAATTTCATTTATAAGTTAATCTTTCAGTATAACTTTAAAGTTAAACTTTAAGTGTAATAAAAAATTTCACCAGTGAAATATTTATTTGAAGGAACATTCGAAGCATAATGAATTGATATTTCGACACCATAAAAAGACAGTTGCGCCAATAAAATATTTATTTACTGACGCAGCCTGTTTCCTTCGTGGTCTCAGCGTGACCCGATTTTTCGAGGGAGTAGCATAAACAGGTTATGGAAAGGTTATACGACTGGCTGTTGCGGGAAATTTCAGAAAAAGAATTATGTAACTAGATTCTGACTTTCTGATAGAAACTTGGGGCCCGAAATAAACCCCTAATCTCCGAGACACGGGGGTCTGTCTGGTCATCGATCGTGGCTCGATTGAAAAAGGAGATCTAAGTGCAAACTCGTGTAAGTTATAACCAGCTTGGAGATTGCTGTTTCAAATGAGAAAACGATCCCGAGGCGAGAGACGAGGACTCGGTAGCGCGTTGATATATTTCGGAAAGAAATCTTTCGGAAAAATATACAACTGTTATTTTATACGTTCTGCGAAATGTGGCAATAGAAAATAGAAAAATTCACGGACTGAATATATAGCGTGAAACTTGTGAATAATAAAATGTAAAATGAAAAGAATTACACATAATTCGATCATTTTGTACATTTTGTAGGAAATAATTTTCATATAGATACGTGTAACATTTGTCCTTGCGATTAAAAAATCGATTCGATTTCTTCAACGTGGAATTTATACTTTCTGTATCATATATTCAAAAACACTGTATATAAATAGAGCTGTATATAAATAGAACTGTATATAAATAGAGCTGTATATAAATAGAACTGTATATGAATAGAGTTGTATATAAATAGAAAATATATAAATAGATAATAAATATATAAATACTGTATATAAATAGAACTGTATATAAATAGAGCTGTATATAAATAGAACTGTATATAAATAGAAAATATATAAATAGATAATAAATATATAAATACTGTATATAAATAGAAAATATATAAATAGATAATAAATATATAAATACTGTCTATAAATAGAACTGTATATAAATAATAAAATATAAAATAATTGAAATGATGAATAATAAAATTCTGTTGTTTGATACTTGTAAAAACCTAATTTGAATCAACGACATAATTTTGGAATTTTATGACAATGAATAGACGTGGTTTTTACACTTCGTAATAAAATAATATTTTACGTAAATATAATTACTTTTACAACTATACATACGTACATAAAAATTTCACTTTCCATTTCGAAATTAGAATATTTAATCTCTCTCTGCGTCATAAATTCGAAAATACTAAAATATGAATAACACGAGCAGTAAAATATGACGAGTAACAAAATTCAATTCGGTACTTATCAAAGTGTAGCGTAATTTAATCGCGTTATGATAACAGACGGACCGGCTATCAAACTTCTTTAAAAAATTTATTTCTCCATAAAAATTATCAAAGGCATAAAAATCCTCCTTCGCATTACGTGTTTCACTCACTTTCCATCTCCATTTCTTTAATGCAGGATTTATACTTATCTGTAAATGTAAATGTGTGAATTCTGTGAAATTGAAGAAGTATCGCTACTCGAAATAAACGAACACCTCGTAATTTTAAAGCGACTGTTAAGGGATTATTCTAGTGTAAAGTGCGTGTTTTTTTTTTAAACCTTGTTAGGGAATTTTTTGCAAAGAAACTATTATACCTTTTGCAGTCAAATTGACAAGGTTTATTTGTACGTATTTCGACGACGTTTTAAAATTTTTTCGGACAAAAAAAAAAAAGTTAAAATTAGTGGCACTGCAATACTCTCAAACGTGGTCGCTTTTGAAAAAGGTCGTCTCACGATGTCCATGATTCCGGCCATTCTGCTTGTCGAAAATAAAAAAAACGTGAATCTTCCTTAATTAGTATGAGTTCGGCTATAGCAGGTACCAAAAAAACAAGAGAAAAAAGTCGGTAATTAAAAAAGTGGCGACACATTGAAATTCGATCATCGATTTTTGCATGTTTTTGTCTAAACTTCGGAAGCCTAGAGAAATATAAAAAATAAAATTTTTTGGTTGATTCTGATAGGGACTATAGTCACACATGTACTAAATGCGTACTTAAAATTTCGAGTCAATCGGTCAAGTAGATTTTGAGATATCGTTGGACACCGTTCTGAAGAACATCGTTTCCAGAAAAATGCCTTTAAAGTTTAGTATTGCGGTAACAATGACGCTGATCGTCGCGTCCATCAAACAACCATAACTTCGTCAATTTTAAGAGTTACAGGGATTTATTTTTAAAACTGTGTCCTTCAAGAATATGTAAAAAAAAAATCGATTTTTTTTTTTTTAAAGTTAAGAGAAAAAACCGTGAAAATCCGCGTAAATGGAGAGGGAGGGAAGAAGCGGAAGAAGATTATCGAAACAAAGGGAAGTTCTTGTAAAAGTCTTTCGCGCAAGGCGTAGTATACATAAAAGAGAAGGGAAATCACGTTCGTGCG